TTTCTTCTTCCTCGTTCCTCTTCTTCTTCTTCTTCCTTTCTTCCTCTCTCTTTTCTATCTTCTTCTTCTTCTTCTTCTCTTTTCTCTCTCTTCTATCTTTTCTTCTTCTCCTTCTTCTCATTCTTTTCCTACTTTTCTTCTTCTTCTTCTTTCCTTTCTCTCTCTCCTTCTCTCTCTCTCTACTTTCTTCTCTGCTATTCTTCTTTTCTTCTTTTCTTCTCTTCCTCTCCTCTTCTTTCTTCTCATTCCTTCCTTCTCTTTCTATTCTCTTTTCTCTCTGCTTTCTTTCTTTTCTTCTTCTCTCTTTTTCTTTTCTTTTCTTCTCTTCTTCTCTTACTCTCCTCTCTCTTCTCTCTTCTTCTCTATCTTCTCTCTTCTTCCTTCCTCCTCTTGCTTCTCTCTTTCTTCTCATCTTCTCTTCTTCTTCCTCTATCTTTCTGTCTCTTCTTTTCTCCTTCTACTCTTCTCTTTCTCTTCTCTTTCTTCATTCTCTTTCTTTCTATCTCTCTGCTTTTCTTTCTCTTTTCTATTCTACTTTTCTGTCTACCTTCTCTTCTTCTCTTTCTCTCTTCCTCTCTCTTCTCCTTTTCTTTCTTATCTTTCTCTTCTCCTTCTGTTCCTTCTTTTCTTTCTCTCTTCTTCTCTTCTTTCTTTCTCTTTCTCTACTCTTTCTCTACTTTCTTCTTCTCTTCTCCTTCCTCCTCCTTTCTTCTCTCTGTTCTCTTCTTCTTTCGTTTCTCTTCTTTCGTTTTCTTCTTCTTCTTACTCTTCCCTTTTCTCCCTTCTTTTTCACCCCAAACATTTTTCTCTTCTACTTCTCTTTCTTCTTCTCTTTTCTCTCTCTTCTCTTCTCTTCCTTCTACTTTCTCTTCTTCCTTCTACTTCTTTTTTTCTCCTTCTTCTCTCTCCTTTCTTCTCTCCCTTCTCCCTCTCTTCTTCTCTTTCTCTTCCTCTTCTTCTTTCTCTCTTCTTTCCTTTTTCTCTCCTTCTTCTCTTCTTTTCTTTTCTTCCTTCTCTTTTCATTTCTTCTTCTCTTCTTTTCTTCTCTACCTTTTCTTCTTCTTCTCCTCTTCTTCCTTCTTCTTCTTCTATCTCTCTCTTCTTTTCTTCTCTTCTCCTTCTTTCTCTCATTCTTCCTCTCTCTCTTCTCTCTTCTTTCTCTTCTTCTTCTTTTTGCTTTCTTATTCTCCTGTCTCTCTTCCTTCTTTTCTCCACTTTCTTCTCATTCTTCCTCTTTTCTCTTCTCATTTTGCTATCTCCCCCTTTCTTTCTCCTCTTCTTTTTTCGTCTTCTTCCTTTTCTCTCCTCCTTCTCCCTTCCGTTCCTCCCTTCTTCTTCTCTCTCTATTCCTTCCTTCTTCTTCTCCTCTTTCCTCTACTTTCTCTTCTCTGTCTTTTCTTCCTCCTTCTTGCATACTTTCCTTCCCTTTCTTTCCTTCTTTTACTTCTTCTCTTCTCTCTCTCTTCTCTCTTCTTTTCTCTTCTTTCTTTCTCTCTCTCTTCTTTCTTTTCTTCTCTTGTCTTCATTCTCTTCTTTCTTCTTTTCTTCTTCTTCTTTCTTCTTCTTTTTCTTTTCTTCTTTTCTCTCTCTCTTCTTCTTCTCTTCTCTTCTTCTTCTTCTCTCTTCTTTCTCTTCTTCTCTCTTTTCTCTTTCTCTCCTCCTCTTCTTTTCCTCTTCTTGCTTTCTTCCCTTCTTCCTTCTCTCTTTCTTCTTCTTCTTCTTCTTCTTCTTCCTATCTTTTCTTTCTTTCTTCCCCTTCTTCTTCCTTTTTCTTTCTCTTTTCTCTTCTTCCTTCTTCTCTTTCTTTCTTTTTTCTCTGTCTTTTTCTTCTTTTTCTCTTCTTCTTCTTTCTTCTTCGCTTCTTCTCTTTTCTTTTCTCTTTCTTTCCTTCTCTCTTCTTCTTTCCTTCTTTTCTTCTTCTCTCTCTTTGCTGTCTTTTTTCTCCTTTTCTCTTTTCTTCTCTTCATTCTTTCTTCTTCTTCTTCTTCTCTTTCTTCTTCTTTTTCCTTCTCTTCTCCCTTTTTTTTTTATTTTTTTTTTCTCCTTCTTCTCTTATCTCTCTGCTCCTTCTCTCTCTTTTCTTCTTCTTTTCTTCTTTCTTTTCTCTCTCCTCTTCTTTCTCTTTCTCTTTTACTTCTCTTTCTCTACCTTTTCTTCTTTCTGTCTCTCAAATCTCATTCCTCTTTTCCTCCTTCTCCTTCTTTCTTTTTATCTCTTGTCTCCTCTTCTCTCTTCTTCTTGTTCTTCTTTTCTTTTCTCTTTCTCTGTCTTCTCTCTTCTAATTCTATCCTCTTTTCTATTCCCTCCATTCTCTCTTTTTCTTCTTCTCTCTTCTCTTCTCTTCTTCTATTCTTCTTTCTCTTCTCTTCTTCTTCTTCTTCTTTCTCTCTATTCTTTTTCTTCCTTCTCTTTCCTTCTTTCTCTTTCTTCTTCTTCTTTCTCTCTTCTTCATTCTCTTTTCTCCTTCTCTTCCTCTTCCTTTCTCTTCTCCCTTTCTTTCTCCTTCTTCTTTCTCCTTCTTCTCTTCTCTTTCTTTCTTCTCTCTTCTTCTTCTTTCTCTTCTCTTCTGTCTCTCTTTTCTCTTCCTTTCTTTCTTCTCTATCCTCTTTCCCTTTCTCTTCTCTTCTTCCTTCTTCTTCTTTCTCTTTCTCTCTTCTTTTCCTACTTCTTCCCTCTCTTTCTCTCTCTATCTACTTTCTTCTCTGTCTTTTCTCTCTATTCTTCTCTTCTTCTTCTTTTCTTTTCTTCTCTTTCTTCTTCTTCTCTTCCTTCCTCTTTCTTTTTCTTTCTTCTTTGTTTTCTCTCCTCTTCTTCTTCTTTACTCTTCTTCCCTATCTCTTCTCCTTCTTTTCTCTTCTTCATTTCTTTTCTCTCTTCTATCTTTCTCCTTCTCTTTCTCTCTATCTTCTCCTCTTTCTTTCTCTCTCTCTTCTTCTTTTCTCTTCCTTCTTCTCTTTCTCCTGTCTTCTCTTCTCTTCTTCTTCTTTCTCTCTTCTTCTTCTTCCTTTCTATCTTTCTTCTTTTCTCTTTCTTTCTTCTCTTCTCTTCTTTATCTCTTCCTTCTCTTCATCCCGGAAACTCTTCTTCTTCTCCTTTCTCTTTCTCATTCTTTCTTCTTTCTCTTCTCTTTCCTTCTCTCTTTCTCTCTCTTCCTCTTTCCTCTTTTTCTCTCTTCTCTCTTCTTTCTTCTCTTCTTCTTCTCTTTCTTCTTTTTCTTCTTTTCTCTTCAATTCTCTCTTTCTCTCTCTCTCTCTCCTTCTCTTTCTCTTCTTCTATCCTCTTCTCCTTTCTTCCTTCTTCTCCTTTCCTTCTTCTTCTTCTTCTTTCTCTTCTCTTCTCCTTTCTCTCTTTTCTTTCCCTCCTTCTGTTCTCTTCTCCTTATTTTCTCTCTCTCTTTCTTTTTCTTTTCTTCTCTTCTCTTTCTCTTCTTCTTCTCTTCTTCTTCTCCTCTTCTCTCTTCTTCTTTTACTTCTCTTCTCCTTCTTCTCTCTTCTTGTTCTTTCCTTCCTTCTTCTTCTCTTCTTTTCTCTTCTTTCCTTCTCTAACTCTTCTTCTCTCTCTCTTCTTTTCTCTGTTTCTCTTCTCTCATCTTGCTAGTTTTCTTTCTCTATTCTTCTCTCTCTTTCTTCTTCTACTTCTTCTTCTCTCTATTTCCCTACTTCGCTCTACCTCTATTCTTCTTTCTTTCTTCTTTCTTCTTCTTCTTTCTCTCTCTTCTTCTTTCTTCTTCTTCTCTAAAAATTCTTCTCTCTTTCTCATTTCTTCTTCCTTCTAACTTTCTTTCTCTTTCTCCTCTTCTACCTTCCTCTTCTCTCCTCTCTTCTTTTTTACTTCTTTCTCTCTTCTGCGTTCCCTTTCCTTCTTTCTTCTTCTCTCTCTTTCTTCTCTTCTTTCTCATTTCTTCTCTACTCTTTCTTCTCTCTCTTCTTTTCTCTTCTCTTTTTCTCTTTCTTTCTCTTTTCTGCTCTCTCTTTCTCTTCTTTTCTCTTCTATTCTATCTTCTTCTTTTCTTTCTTCCCTCTTCTTCTCTTTTTCTCTTCTTATCTTATCTTCTTCTCTCTCTTCTTTCTTTTCTTCTTCTCTTTCCTACCTTTCTTCTTCTCTCTTTTCCTTCTTCTCCTTCTATCTTTCTTCTTCTTCTTTCTCTTCTTTTCCTTTTCTTCTTCTCTCTTTTCTTCTCTTCTGCTTACTTCTTTTCTTCTTCCTCTTCATTTCTTCTATCTTTCTCCTCTCTCTTTCTATCTTCTTTTCTCTTCCCTTCCTTCGCTTCCTTTCTTCTTCTCTTTCTCCTTTCTTCTTTCTTTGCTCTTCTTCTCTCTCTCTCTCTTTCTTCTTCTTCTACTTCTCTCTCTTCTCTCTTTCTCTTCTTCTTCTTCTTCTCCTCCCTTCTTCTCTCCTCTCTTCTTTCCTCTACTTTCTCTCTCTCCTCTTCTTTCTTCTCTGTCTTTCTTTCTTCCTTCTTTCTACTTTCTTCTTCTTTTCTTTCTTGCTTTGCTCTTCTCTCTCTCTCTGCTTTTTCTTTCTTTCTTTTCTTTCTGCTCTCCTCTCTTTTCTTCTCTTTCTCTCTTCCTCTCTTTTCTCTCTCCTTCTTCTCTTTCTTCTTCTCCTTCTTTCTTCCTTCCCTCTTTCTCTTCCTTCTTCCTCTTCTTTTCTCTTCTTCTCCCTCCTTCGTTCTCTTTCTCTTCTTTCTTCGTTTCTTTCTTCTCTTCTCCCTCTTTCTTCTTCTTTCTTCTTCCTCTCTCTCTCTCTTTCTCTTTCTCTTCTTCGTCTGCTCTTTCTTTCTTCTGGTCCTCTTTCTTCTTCTTCCTTCTTTTCTTCTCTTCTTTTCTTCTTCTTTCTTCTTCTTCTATTATCTGTCTTCTTCTTTCCCTTTCTTCTCCTTTCCTCTTCTCTTTTCTTCTTCTCTTTCTTTTTCTCTTCTCTCTCCTTCTTCTCTTCTCTCTTCTTCTTCTTCTTTCTCTCTTTTCTTTCTTCCTCTCTTTTTTCTCTTCTTTCTCCTC